GCTTGCAACAATGGTAGCTTGTAGAGGAGGTCCAGGTTGATGGGTGGGTGGCTTGGTTCCACTCAAAACGGTCGCGATTCCGGTTTTCGGCACGATCGCGATTTTCGCGGCGCGATGTTGTCCTCGATCGGCAACTCCTCTTCTTCCACTCTTCCACACGAGTATAGCCACACTTGTGTCGCTATGCGACTGTTAATCCTATGAATCTCCGCCAGGAAACTCAGTTGTAGGAACACAAGAGCTGGGAGGGAGATCTCTGGTTGATGAAGATCTCCTCCACTGGCTGAAAGGCCAACTCAAAAGAGCTGGATCAATGCTACCCAATCACTACTTCAAAGTACTTGGGGAGCTGGTTACATTGCCCTAGCACATACCACACAGGAATCTATCTACTGCAGGGCTGAGGGTGCTACTGGGTCTCAGGGGTTACTCTTTCATTACTATCTTTCTTACTATAAGCTAAAAACACCATTACCACGATTTCACTCCAGTTGACAGAACTGGCTCTTTTGGAGAGGATATCCACAGTTGGAGATCCTAGTAGGAGAGGACTGTTGGTCTGGAACATTCCAATGTATCTAGGCTGAAGGGTATGTATGCTCTGCAACACATAGGCATGCCTCAGCTATATACAAATTGTCACATGGCTGCAATGCTGTGTGTACTGATTGACTGTACACGATGAAAAGCATTGTTTCCATCCGACTAAACCAGCACAGCTGTGGCGCACCCATAGAGGCTCCTATTGCTAATTTCATCGCCCATTGTCGGCCGATCCTCTTCTTCGAACGATCGATCCTCCTCCTCCACCAACAACAACAGGCTCGGTTAACCTTACCCCTAAGGCAACCGGTGACGTTGATTCGAATCCAATCCTCTGAATCGAATCGACCTTCCGAATCGATCCAAGACTCGCTCCCGTGAATTGACACGTACCTCTTCCCGCGAACGTACCTCTTTCTCGGATCGAACTTCAGCCTCTACGTACCTCTTCCTCGGATCGCACTTCAGCCTCTACTATCATCAAGAAGGACTTCACGAGATACCTGCAGTGACCACCGAGAAGAGAATTACACCTGTATTCTTACTTTCTCACTGGCCACTAGTGGTTTCTCCCGACGTCCTTGTTGGCACTGATACCTCCTGCTACTGTTACCACTCCCACATTGATATCTAACTCCTCTCCCAGAGGAACAACAAACAACAACAGAGTTCCTGTAAGGACTTGAGTTCTGCTATCTCCAGACTCGGCTGCTTTCTTGGTCGGTTTCCAGCCCCCCTGGGATATCCAGCTCCTCTCCAAAGGATCTCACCCCCACAAGAACCAACAAAAGTTGCCCCTCTAGCATCACAGCTAGATTGTGCAACACCCCCCTTATTGAACCAGCCACCTCTCTGCTCCTGCTCCTGACTTTCCTACTGAGTGTGTCTGACTCCAAAGGATTGAGCCCCAGTCAGAACTGCAGCGTGGTGTGGCTCAGATATCAACCACCGCCTGACTCTATTACCTCTCTAGCTGATTGTTGAGTGACTCCTCAGTCTTTGTCCATTCCACTGAATCGAGTACCCTCTACAAATCTTGGCTTGACTCTCTGTTGAAGTCTGTGGTGGCCTTCACCAGATTGAGTACCAGCCTTTGAGACAACACAGTGTCAACCAGTAACACAGCCCCATCAACCACCAACACCCCTTGATCCCCCACCACTGCCTCTACTGGCTATAGCGTGACTTCTCCAGTTTCCCTGAAAGAATCCCTATCAGCCTTTGGCTTTGATCCCTTCCTTTTGCAGTTTGTGGTAACTGTACTATGGCCTCCTTGAATAGATTCCTTCGAATTAATCCTCCTCTCTACCTCACAAGCAATCCCTGTGCTTGAGTTGCAGCAACGACCCGACAGTCAACATTACACGATACAACAACCTTTCCATCAACCAACCATCATGCCTCCCACAGCAAACACATCCTACCCTCCTCCCTCCAGCACCATACCACCTACAGCCCACAACCACCCCTCCAACATCCACCCCACAATCCCTCTTACAGTCCACACCGCCCCAGCAGACACTGTGCCTCCCCTTTGGGAGCCACTTCCTGCCAGTGCGTCACTTGGCCCTCTCGCAAGGCTCTTTGTCGGCTTCTGCCTGACACTGTTCGCCCACTGGATAGGTCATACCCTGACATGGTCCAGTCTTAGGTGCGCCACCGCCTATGGACTCTGCTGGCATCTTGCCTTGCACGACAAGGCAATGGCCACAGCATGGGACCTGATCACTCAGACGCACCTGTGGTGGAGGTGGATCGATGATGACTGTTGTCGATCAGCGCCCTTCTAATAGGTTAAATTCTGGCTAGGCCACTGTGCTCCAGGTCATGATGGGAAGATGCACACTTCCGTTGTAAGTAGAGCTGTAGGGACCTGCCCCTTGTTCATGGGGCGGAGGTGAACGGCGGTGAGACTATAGGATAGTGTAGCCGTGCTACTATGAGTGGCATATCCTCCTTCAGTGTTGACGCTTGGTGTGCACCGTGAATCTTCCTATCGTGCAATTCATCAATGGTATACGACTCAGCTATTTGGGCCCTCGGGCTCAACTATTGCCAGCGTAGAAAAAGGTCCTCCGGACCCAATAGGTTGTTAACCTAAATAAGTAATTAAACCCGTGGCTGAATCGGTTAAGATATCTCCAGTACTAGACTAAAAATAGAGTTATCTTATTGGTGAGGTAGGAGTGTAGGGAATGTTACAGACTTTTAAATGAATGTTTTATGGGAATAATTATTTATGGGCATGTTCATTCGTGATAGGGGAAATTTCTATGCGGTTTACATGGAGGCTTAAGGGAATGTTTCGAAGGCTTAAGGGAATGTTTCTTAAGGGAATGTTTCTTAAGGGAATGTTTTTAAGGAAATGACCACAGTAAGAAACATTCCCTTAAACATTCCCTTAATCCTTGATATTCCCTTTTAAAAACATTCCCTAATTTAATTTTTTTAAAGTCCTGAGCCAAAACTGTCGGACGGTCCAGGGGAAAAGCGCAGAAAACCCCAAGGTGATTTGTCCCTCGCAAATTTTTACTTAGGCTAAGTGCGCGCAAATCCATTTAGTCTAAGTGTAACATTTAGCCTAAGCAAAACACATAAAAATAGCAATACACTTTGGCTAAGCAATACACTTGCTTAAGCTAAGTGATGCTCTCCAAGGCATCTTCTCAACAGCACAAGTTCAACACAAGTCCCTGCAGCTTGCTGTAAACAAAGCGCAAACACAAGTTCCAATACAACCATCACCCACCATTTCCTCTGCCTTATGCTGCACAATGCTTCCTGCGAACTGCTCAAGGAACTTCACAAGAAAGAGTTCAATTGGGCTGAAACTGAGATTTAAATCCAGGTTGCAACTTTCCTGGAGGATGGTATCATCCATACATGGCAGCATACTATTATTCTGGCTTCCAACCTTGTCTATAATGTAAATACGCAACAACAAAGAAGTTTCAAGGGAGACTCTGTACGATTGGGAATTATTACGGTTCGAGGGTGGAAGTCCGAAAGTACTCCTCAGGAGTTGTGGGTACTATTCCGATGTACAAATGATATTGCTTTCTTGCAAAATCTTAGATGTTCCTGATATTTCCAAATACATGTTCAGTGTATTTACCTACCATCTGAGAGTTGTTGGTCTTTAGTTGTGCCTTTGGTGTGGCCATCAATCCCTCATTGCATATAGCCCCAAAGCACTTGCTGGCAATATAGTTACTATTGCGAATGAGGATCAGCAGTAATACAGAGTTTGTGTACCGGTATACAACAAGCTGCAGGGATTTGTGCTGTTGAAAAGATGTCTCGGAGAGCATTACTTAGCCTAAGTGTATCGCTTAGCCAAAGCAAGTGTTTTGCTTAGGCTAAGTAGAACACTTAGTCTAAGTAATTCACGTAAATCCACTTGGCCTAAGTGGATTTATGAATACTTAGCCTAAGTGAAAATTTGTGAGGGGCAAATCACCCTACCCCTGCTACTCTACTACAGCTGTAGATAGCTAGCTAGTGGCTGGCTCCTACTGTACTGCTGCCATTAGTGCAGTACGGTACCAGATCAGCGCACCGGTACTCGCTGCGGTACTAGTTTAAAGAGAGTTTCAGTACTTACACCTAAAGCTCAGGTAGGTCCTAGTACAAAAATGTTGGCTCACAACCGCATTGAAGAATGGGGTGTAAACGGTGCGCACAAGACTTAACACATAGAGGGAATGAGAACCCAAAAATGAAGCTTCTAAAGATACTAGTATTCTCCCTTCTCTGTTCCTGGGTGACTTTTACGGGAACCCTAACCCTCCCTCTGGTACTGAAGCCCTGTGGGGCTCTCCCTCGGGTTTCCGGCAAACATTCCCAAACATTCCCAAACATGCCTCCTCTAACAGCCAGTACTAATTGGGACTGGCCTGAGCAGCTCAAATCAGTCCCTAGTTACCGGTTGGCTCTTTTGCCGCCATGCCTGGCTCTGAGAGCATGGTGCCCCCCCCCCTGACAGTAACAAATAAGTGCACCAGAGTATTCAAAAATGAACCACCAGGCCTGTTGTTGCTGCCATGGTGGCATGGTACACGTTTAATGCGGATTAACGCGGGACAGTTAATTCACGCTTTTTCTATGGCAGTGTTAAGCGTGAATAACAACATCATTAAGATTTAACGAAAAGAGTTAACAACTTAACATTTCAACTTAACATCGAATGAACAAACATTCACCATGGCGAAAAGAGCCGACAATTCGACGACTATAGCATCTTCCTTGGCGTCCGTGAGCACTGATTGCTTGTCATAGAAGCGGGTGTCAATGCAGAGGTGGCTTGGTTAGATTGTGAGCTGGCTAAGACCATAGAAAGCACCGTCAAAATCAGAAGAAGCGTCCGAATCATCGTTGACATCATCGTCGGGCTCAAAGCGAGTGCTACTTCCACTGCTGCTGTTGTTGTCTCCCTCGTTTCCATTGTCGTTGTTGTCTTATCCATCACCATCACCATCATTGCCTTCTCCACCTTCATCCGGAGCTAGAGCCTCATCATCAATATTATGAGCGACAGCAAAAAGAGATCCACCACCAACAAAATCGACATGGACGCTGCGTCCTCCTTGATGCGAAACTAACTCCAGGTGGCGCATGGACTGCGACACAATTCTGCCCTCCACATTCATCAAGAATGTGAGGCCTCCAGTTGAAATGAAACGGTTTGGGTGAATGTGAATGGACAAACTCGCATTTTGTCCGCTGTTGACCGCGTCAATGAGACCCTGACGAATGGCTTCCCCAATGGCAGCGACATCGTCTTGAGGCAAAACTGTGGGGAGCTCCGGGGTAAAGAGAAAGGTGTTAGCGACGATGAACGGCATTGTGGCGATCTTTATTGCGACAGCAACGAATTTATGTGAGTCTATGTTCAGTCGCCTTGATCGATTGAGCGTGTTGGTGCGCTTCGACTCCTCTGAGGCTCGGTTGACGCCCTATTTGATGCGTTGCAGAATGATCTGTAGTCGGCGGGAAGCGTGAGCCAACCATACACAGTGGAAAGAGGAGAGTTCCCCGGAGACAGATCGGCATTCTCCTACAGACCAAACTGTCGTCAAACAACAAACAACGCCTGTCGGAATGAGCCTACACGTGTACGGAATGGTCGGTGGCAACTCGCCACAATCCAACTAGCGCAGTGGATCTAACTGCACAATCAATCCGACAATGAGCGATGCTTCTTTTGCTTTTGGCGCGCTGCAATGGAATCCCATTGTGTGCATCCTTCCTGCTGCTGATCTAGAGAAGATGGATGGCTCTGGCAGCGAAACACGGCATCCTCTCATTACGTGGAAGTCTTGTGTCGTCTCGGAGGATGGATCCAAGGCGGAAGAAACGATGCAAATGAAGGCATCATCTATTTCGTTTGACCGATTTGGTGACACGGTCAAGTATCGCTTTGAAGTAAAAGGATTTGAGCAAACCACGAAGGATGATGTGAAACAGTGCCAGCCCAAGGATTTCTCAACTTCCAACGTCCTCACAATGCAAGAGCTTCGATTGACAACCCGTGTGAAATGGGAGACAAAAAGTTTCAAATGGAAAAGCGACAGTTCTGGACTAGCCACCCGTACAGTTGCGATGACGTTCATGTTCGAGAAAGAGGAATTGAAACATTCAGACATTATTCAGATCGAAATCTTTGCACCCAAGACGTCTGACATCGACAAAGGCAAGACCCTGAAGACTGCTGTGGAGTGGGGCAAACTGGTTGTCGACGCCAATATGAAATACCAACAGCTGATTCGTGAAATGTAAGCAAGAAAGCAGCAATCTATTCAGATGATAGTAGTGGTTGCAATGAGCGAGATTATAGCATTATAATTGCTTCGAAAAGCTACAGAATATAGACAACGTTGACAGAACATTGTCTCATGTTCGGATACAATGATGGTGGCTTATAGTAGGTCGCTTTGAATATCCTCCATCTCACCGTCGTCAAGTGCTCGCAGCACACGCAGCAACACATTCTTGCGACGCTGCTTGGTGAAAGCTAGAAGGCGCAGAGCAATTCCTTCGTTCTCCGTTTCAAAGCAATGCTGTAATCCGACGTCTCTTTCAAAGCATTCAATCTCTCCCCCTTTCAGAGCCTGGAGCTTTTCTTCATCCTGATCCGTCCATCCGCCTGTTGGGGCCTCTAGGTCCTTGTATTTGTTCTTCCACAGCGCAACCAAAACATCCTTTCTGGCGTCGGTCTTCTCATTATTTGGTTCGGACGGATTCGGCCCTTGCTTCCATTGAATGGCCAACTGATAGTCAGGTTTTCTCCACTTCGTGTGGTCTTTTTTGGATTGCAAAAGCTCTTTGGCAGCAGTGGCAACTCCGTCGTGAGCCATGAACTTCTTATTATTATTCTCTAGCACCTTGATTACTTTGTCAGACTCCTTGCGAGCATACGCAATCAGAGCATCATCGCACGTCATTGGTCCGCCTCCATTGGTTACGTGAAACCAACCACCGGCGGTGGACACTTTCATAATAGCATCCTGTCGCTCTCTTGTATTTGGTATTGTCATGGTCGATGCTCTTCCTCTAACCTGAGTTTCTGTTACTCGATTAATCGAACGCCGAAGATTGTCGGCTAAATCGTAACCGGCATCCTCAAGAGCGCGACAAGCCTCTCGGTTCTTCTGCTCCAACTCATCAAGTAGCGCTCCGTAAGGGTCAGCTTCGGCGTCAATGCCACCATCTTCCGTCTCCACAACTTCGTGTCTGATCTGCGATGATTTCAATGCAGCTCGAGTGCTTGGACAATAGCCACACTTGTCCATAGCCTTGTGAATGTGTTCAGCATCCATGGCTTCAGAGAACTGCAATACACGGCTCTTAGCCTTATTCGCGACTCGATCCTAGATAGGGTTTGAGTTCGACTCATGACGTAGTCCTTCGCGGGCTGCTACCGTCTTTAGCTTGATTGCGCCGTCTCCTAGATAGGGTTTGAGTTCGACTCATGACGTAGTCCTTCGCGAATAGTCATTGAGACAGGTTCTCATGACTGCTAGTCATACTAGGTTGTCGATGAAACATCGCTCTAGATATTTAGCCAGCGTGGAAAGCTTCCACGCTACTAGACAGCTACTAGCTGAATTCCACGTGTTCCGAAATGGACCGTGAGTACGTAGTTATTATCATAATCTACGATATCACACTTCGAGGCCTCCGCGGGAGACCAACTTCAATGAGCTTCACAACGATCTCTCTCATGGATTAGTTTTCGTAGCTTTCTAATCTCTCTCATACTTTCATTCTCTCAAACTCAAAACACTCGAAAGATATTTTCACTAGCTTTTAGCGTAGGCATTTTGTTAACAAACACAATAGCTTTCAGCTACCCTAACCTATTCCTTCACCATGAAGATTGCTCAAGGAAAGCATGGTTCACCAACTTCGAGAAAAGTTGCGTGACAAACCATTCTTCCTCTCGTCGACACGACGAAGACGCTGAGATCGACGATTCTCGTGCAACCACCTACAAACTTCGCACCGTTCCTGCAGATGCAAACAGTGCCAAGTACACCTTCAAGGTAGCCATCATCAATGGTTCCAACACTCCACGTCAGACCATCAAGTGGGCTAGGATATGGAGAAGGTCTTCGTTGGACTCAACCTTGCTATTCCCGACGACAAACATCGCCTTCTCAAGGAGATGACTTCCAGCTCTGCGAAGAGTGCCTACGAAGCTGGGTGTGCAGGCCATCGTGCCGTGCGTCACAACGCCCTACGACAAATTGCTGTAAACGCAGTTGCTCCACGCGACGTGACTTCTGGAGAAACCGAATCCAATTCCAAGCTCGTGACAAGCCGCATGGGACGGTGCAGCGAACCCGCTCTAAGCGATGCTGTCATCACCTTTGGAATCAACGCGGTTATCGAAGCAGCCTGTCCTTACAAGGCTCTCGAAAAACAGAAACGCTTCATGCGTCGCAAGATGCGTAAGCCTAGCGAGATGACAACTCGCGCCTACATCAACAACCTCACTTGGATGAATACCGATGAGCTTCCACGTTTGCCACCTTTCGGTGCAATCAACAGTTGAACCAGGACGAATTCATCGACATCATCTGTCATGGCATTCCTCGTTCCTGGATGCGCAAGATGGACGACACGACTTCAATCCTTTCACTGCCGAGATGCAGCGTCATTGGATTCTGTGAGCGCATGGAATCCGCTGAAGACTTTGACAAAGGCAGTGATGCCAAGCAAGCTTCTTCGAAGAAGAACAACAGCAAGAAGTACAAGTCTACTCGCAACAACGACCATTCTTCCAAGAGCGAAGAAAAGTGGTGTGATTACCACGAGTCCAGCACTCACAATACTGCTGATTGCATGACTCTGAAGAAACTCAAAGCCAAGTCCTCGTCTGACAACGATAGCAAGCCAGCGTACAACAAGAACAAGACTTGGAAACGCAAGTCTGACGATGCCAAGTCCTACACCAAGAAGGAACTTTTGTCCTTATGAAGAGAAGTCTCCAACGCTGCGGTCAAGCGGATCGCAAGAAGAAAAGCGAATGCAACCATGTTGCCAAACGCAAGTCAGACGACTCTGACAACGAGGATGACTCCTCTGTCGGGTCCCCAACATGATGGACAAGAAAATGGCTGCAGTCGACAAGGCTTTTGTCGACTTCGACTTCAATCATTCAGATGGAGAGATCTCCGTCTGAGGATTAGGCCAGGATGATATTCAACGGAACCATGTTCCGATTTCTCATACCTAAGTGATGAATATATCTCACTAACTAGTAAACAAGAATTGTTGCAACTGAAAGTCTACGGCAAATTAGATAATTGCCTAGAAAGCTGCTCAACTAGACTCTGACGATCTATCCAGCATTGTTAACCTTGTCCGTGGCCAACCACCTCGTAACGTCGCAAGACAAGAGACCTCAAAACTATCGTCTATGTTATTTAACAGACGAGAAAGGGAAACAAAACCCGTCACCTCCGTTGCTTACTGGACAGGAGCATCCGGAACTTGATTCCAAACTCATGCTAAAGTTACAAAGATCATGGGGGCGTCCAACACTATGGACTACCCCTGAAAGGAATTAAACCCCAGCACGAAGTGTAAGGGTGCACTTATGACTCCTGAGTTCCGATGATAGAATTATCGAATGGAACTTGCGCGCCACCAAGAACTTGGGGCGTATGACATGATTAGGTCGGACTTCTCTCCGATCTAAGATCAAGTTCGATTTCACTACCCATCAGCGAAGTGGAATAGACATCTTTCCCTATGAAAGATAGCAATACAAGAAAGAAGGAATTCTTCATCACTGATCTACATCCAGCGACAGTGCAGATCGTCTCAAGAGGATCTTGACACGAAATACGAACGACTTGACTTAAGGCAGATTGCCAGAGTCAAACCAGGTAAATAAGAAGAACAGGAACCGCTTCATGCCTTATTGACCAAGTACTCCGACCAATTCGAAGGTACTTTAGGAAAGCGACAAATGGCGACTACGAAGTAGAATTTCCCTGACTAAACCTATCACCTAGGCTTATCTACCACGTGTCCATACAACACTCTTAAGACAGAGTCGAACGTCTCTGCGACGCGGAGCACTTAAGAAGGTAAAACGTTCCAAGTGGGCGGCAAACACTTTATCATTCCCAAAAAAAAATGGATCTAACGGTTCATCTCTGACGTCCGGGAACTAACAAAAAGATTAGCAAAACCTTGTCCGATCCCAAGGATACAAGACATGCTACTGAATCTAGACAGATTCAGGAAATACGAGTACACGAGAGTACGATGGGCCTATGCAATAGTCCCGACATCTTCCAAAGGAAGATGGGACACTCATGCACGACTTGGAAAAATTCGTGCATACACTGATGATAACTCATCTAACTAACGGCGATCTAGTGGATCACGTTGAATAGTTAGATGAAGTTCTCCTAAGGCTTCGAGAAGCCGGATTAGATCAATGCTACCAAGTCTTCTTCGAAAGAAGACTTGGTATCTAGGCTATGGATTACTGAGAAGGATCCACCCGTACCAGAAATGATGCGATAGATATCCTCCTCCTACGAACAGGAGAAACTTGGTAGATTCATGGACTAGTGAACTACTATCGAGACAATGGATCAGACGATCAAATGTACATACAACGTCGAGGATCCCAAGAAGTCCCTTCCTTTCATTGCTTGAATGATTGATCCCGTAACCGAATGGTTCGAGATTGCCGAGATCTGCTCCAAGCAGACGAAGTAGCCATCGTTCTAGACAGACGTGGCTCACCCGTATCCATGGCTGCTGAGGTTATCATGGATAGGAACGTGAGTTCCGCGCAGAAGTCGAGAAGATCTCCGGGATGAATATGGACTTCGTCGCAAGTTCATTACCACACGTGTTCAATGTGACGCGATTCACAACGTCCGTTTCGAAGAAACTGGAAACACATCAAAGAACGTCGCCAAAGACTACAGAAAAACAAAGATAGAGAAAACGCGACGCGTGCCCCCATCAATACAATGTCAACGATACTGTGAGGTTTCAACAGTATCAGCCCGCAAGTACGGTCAGCCAAATACAAAGTCCTTACATATAGACGAGTCAATACAATGGCACTGCTGGCTCCACATATGCTACCGCCAATGGCGGCACAGTCTACCAGACTTGGAAATAAGTATTTACACCCAACAGGCCTGATCCCCTTGTAGGATTGCATCTGCGACGCACATTCTACATCCAATCTCCGGAGAGTGCCCCGCACTTTAAATATATGTTTCCTTGTCCGACTGATGTCGTGCCTTCTGTGACCCTTGTCAGGGGGCGAATGCAATACACGGCTCTTAGCCTTATTCGCACTCGATCCTATGATAGGGTTTGAGTTCGACTCATGACGTAGTCCTTCGCGAATAGTCATTGAGACAGGGTTTTATGACTGCTAGTCTAATAGGTTGTCGATGAAATCGCTCTAGATATTTAGCCAGCGTGGAAAGCTTCACGCTACTAGACAGTACTAGCTGAAGTTTCCACGTGTTCCGGAATGGACCGTGGAGTACGTAGAGTTATTATCATAATCTACGATATCACATCGAGGCCTCCCGCGGGAGACCAACTTAATGAGCTTCAACGATCTCTCTATGGATTGTTTTGTAGCTTTCTAATCTCTCTCATAACTTTCATTCTCTCAAACTCAAAACACTCGAAAGATCTTTACACCAGCTTTTAGCGTAGTGCAGAACGCATCGACAAGCTCAATCGTACTGCCATCGGTCAGCGTGACGATACCACTGAAAATAATGCTGCCAATGTCCGCCATCGACAGAGCTGCTGCTGCACCTTCTAGACGGAATCGTGCCGCCCAAAGCTTGTTGCGATTGTCGTATATGAGTTTCTTCAAGAAGGCAAACATCTGGTCTAGCTCCTGCCCTGTGGACGTTCCGTTTGGCATGCCAGGATAGCTATGGAAGCCAGAACCTCGCATCATGACATGCCACTTTGGGTTGAATCGACCGGGACCAGAGTCAAGTTTTACCAACACACAGTCGTCGCGGGTATCAGCACTCCTTGGATAGAGCGGAAGAATGCATTTCGCAAAGAATTCATGCAGCATTTGGCCTGTCATACCTCCCTTTGGGTTCATCGCAAAGGGGACGTTGTGATATCTCTCCGTGTTAAAGCCATATCTAGCTTTGATCTGGGGCAAAGATGCAGCAAAATCAGTTTTGAGCTTGTAATTGTTCGGATCTTTCGCCTTCGTCGGAAAGATCAGCAGCGGTGGAAGTGCTTCGCCGGCAAAGTTGACTCCAAACATAACTGTCATTGATGCTCCATTCTTTTCCACCGCTTGACCAGCGTCCTTAAGTCCAGCTATTGTGGCCGATGGAATTAGACTCTCTCTGCCACCAATCGAAGCATCCGTCCCCTCTAAAGCTAGATTCATCTCATCAAATTGAAGGACATGTGAAAGCCTCTCCTTGAGCCAAACAATATGGCCCACTTCAGACGCTCCTCGTGAAGGTCGCGAGCAAATCCAAGCTCGACAGCATGCCTCTCCCAATTCTCATAATGGCGAAGCTGCGACTGATAAGTCAACCAAAGAACACACAGAGACTCTCTACTGTCGGCCTTGGTCAAATCCTGCAAGTGACAAATTTCCTCTTCAATTCGACGATAGAATCGTGCATCGTTCATGTCTGGAAGACCCTCAGCTCGCCTCTTCGCATTCAAGATTTCTCCAACAGAGCTCTTCATTTGCTCTCGATTGGATCGATCTTTGCAATTTGCTTGCTCAATAGCGCAAGCTGTGAAGACACCAGAGCAGAAGGACTTGAATACATCGATGGGAACCTCACCTTGACGTCCAAGTCACGGAGGAGACTTATTAATATCACCTTTAGCAACAGCAGTTTGTAGTTCTCTGCCGGAAAGGCAATCAATGCCAATCAGATCGTTGAATGTCGTTGCCACGGCTTCTGCTGACTTGAAGATCGACAGGGTGTTTTCGTTCAACCGGACCGAGTTGTAAATAACAGTAGCTGCCTTGAAAACAGATTTGCGGATATTGTCGATCTCGCATCTTGATTGAATTTCAATTTGAGCCGCCTTACTGGTTCGACGAGTGTCAGTTGTTGTTGTAAGATGAGAGATCCCACTGCGAATGCTTCCTTGAGGCTTTCTCGCGTCTTTCCATTCAACGTTGGACTTGGTGCTGTTATTGGATTGCTTGGAAGTGGATGCAGTTGAGGCACTGCTGCCACAATAGACACTGTCAAAGAGCAATTTCATTTCTTTGTTTCGAAAGTCTGGTGGGGTGTTGAAGAAAGAGGCCTCCTCTTTATCCTCATCAAACGATACGACAGAACGCTCTGTAGGACCACCAAGAGTTGATATGGGGGACAAGATTGCACCAGCGTCGCTGTCGACGTCAAATTCAACAGAGAGGACTGGCCTCGGCCTGGCGGCAGCTGCCCTTGGAACGGGAGCCAGAGTTGGAGCTGCAGCGGGGGGTTGCGTTGCCCTAGCTACTGGATCATGGGCGGGCATAGGTTGTTCTTGTTCTTGTGCTTGTGCTTTCTTCCGGTATGAGTCGATTGCTCGTTTGACTTTCATGTACTTGGCACCGGCTTTTCGGTCCTCTTTCTTGAATCCAGCTAACTCCATCGCGTATGCTTGGGTTGGCTTCCTTCCCGTGGTGGGATGCTCAACAATGCTCTTCCACATGAACAATGCTCGCTTGGTGTTTGCTTCGACAGTGTTTTCCAGTTCCGGTCTTCCATAGCGTTGCTCCAATCCTTGGCGTCGTCGGTCGAATTGTTTTTTCACTGCCTCAAGCATTGCATCTTTCTCAGGCATACCAACAGCCACAAGGCAATCCTCTCGAGACAGATACGTTTCACCCCATTCCGGAATGCTTCTATAGACCTCCAGGGCCCTCTCAACAAGCTCGTCACGATCCATCTTGATCAAACGATGTTGTTGGACCACCGAGGGGACGACGGCGAGAAGGAAACCCAGAAGACTGTCGAAACCAAATTTTTGGCCCTATCCAGGCCAGCTCCTCTGACACATGGTCGCAAATACATCTTGCATTCACTCTAAAGCCGCAAAATAGTGCACTGGGAGTGCACAATAGCGCCATTGTGGACTGTTTGAATAGTTCGAAAAGTCTGTCGAAAATTTTTGTGCTGTTAACTTTAAGTAGTTAAAGCTGTTAATACAGCGTGAATAATTCCTTAACACCCCGTGAATCGTTAATCCGCATTAAACGTGTAGTGCTGCCATCATAGTGTCTCTATTGATACAATTAACCAAGCTTTGTTGCTGTCATCCATAGTATTAGTAGAAGATGTGTGGTCTTCCTGATCTTGCCAGAGCTAGGGAAGCAAACGCTGCTGCTAGCGAGCTAACGGATAGTATCCCCCAAATTCTGGTTGATGACAATGGCGACCCAATCAATGAGGCAGACGATGCTGATGAAATCTCACAGCCTGAGTTGACTGATGGCAGGAGCCAAGCAAATCCAAAACCAAAGTATCAGAAGAAGTTGGGCTTCAAAAAGCCAAAGATGGTTGATTTGTATGCTGGCATGAGACAGGCAGATATATGTACCAAGTCCACCGAGGATTACTTTGGTCCAATCTGGCCTCGATGGCACTCTGTAAATCGATAGTCTCGAATAGGGAACCATGGGAAGTCAAATTTGGCTTGCGGCTGTACGACCAGCGGAAACCGGCAGATATTCAAAACTCCAACCTGTATAACAAGGAACTACCAGTGGAATTCTTCCAGTGGCTTATGGAAGAGTGTGGTGGCTGCAAATCAGTCATAGCTAAAGCAAAGACCTTTCTCAATACTAATATCAAATGCGAGCATTACTGCCGCCTAGTTGAAGCTGGGTTTGCTGGTATTCTGGAGCAGATCAAAGTTGGCGAGTCACTGTCAATCCAGAACTCTTGCAAAGCAGTACAGAGTCAAGCTGCATCCAGGGTTCTTAACAATTGTGAGGATATGCAGGCTCAGCTACAGCAATGGGTGTCCTTGCATCAGATACGAGAGATGGCACTGTCAGCATTCAATCCTAAGGTTGGTGGTCCAGTATCTAAGCTGAAACCTAGCAATGCGATCTATTTCATGTGCCACTATCACACAATGAGTGCCACTACCCAAAGAAGTGAAGAGTTTGTTGGGCAAAGAATGATTCAACGAGCCTACAAGTTCATGGAAGCTATTGGTCCATCCGGTATTGGAGTATCTCAGATTGTGACTAACAAGGCAAAGCACAACAAGGTCGGGTGGCTAGAGTATACGGTAGCCATCCCCCACAGTGATCCCTTGAGAGATTCCAGCAGCTGGCATGGTCTCCTTTTTCTCTGGCAGCTGATAGTGGAGAAAGGAGACTGCCTGATTTGTCCAGCAATAACTACAAAGCTATCTTTGATGTATTAACTTATCCATCATCAGAGGATGGAGACAAGACAGTCTCATCCCGACAAGTCGCTGCCAACTTCGAATGCTTCTACTCGGAAGCTGACGTGATATGTGCAAAGGTCACACATCAGCCACGTTTCCAGTCGATCCAGCAAATGGATATGCTTGGCATTCCAGAACCTGTACAGTGTCGAATGACTGGGCACAAAAGGAAGGGTCAAACCGACCATCAAAGAAGCTATGCCAACAACCCACCCACTGCTGGTATCGCCCAAAAGGCCGGTGGTGGTGACCACCACTACCCCCAACAGTACAGTACTACTCCATTCCAGCTTACAGTACAAGAAAAGGTGTGGGTCAATGAAATTCGATGTGCTCTTATTCCAGAGATCGAAAAGTGGTACAAAACAATCTGCAGGGATTTTGACTCGGCTACTTCAGCAGCTGAGAGGGCATCAAAGCGGTTGTACACCAAAAAAGGAATGGTGGCTTCTATTCGATGGGACGTGGAAAGCTGTATTGTGATGCTAGCTACTACACCGGAGCTGCACCCAAGAACCTTTAAACTACTGCCCAACTCCAACCTGAGTGTCTTTCAACGATACCGAAACGACAGATTTGCTGTTCTGTTAAACCACTCAGCATTCAATCTACCAGCATTCCCACTACTGGAGCAGTCATTTCTCGGTCGACTCAAAGTCAATGACACAATCAACTCCATGTTCAGTGTTGAGAATCCAGATAATGTATCCATCACGGAACAGTTGCTAGTCCGGTATGTCAGCCGTCCCCTTATGCAAATGCAACAGGAGCAACAGGAAGCTTTCTCAGAAATGCGACAAATGCAGACTCATTCCACCAGTTCCTTTGCAGCAGCCAGCAGAAGATCTACAGAGCAGGGTAGTGTTGCCATCACTCCTTCTCCCACATCTGCTAGCAAAAGAAACAGCAGCACCCTAGCTGATGGAGTAACTGCAAGGAAACGACGACCACCGGTGAAACAGGCAACATGAGTCCATATCTATGAATTCCAGAGGAACTCAGGGGTAGATGCACAAGAGCTGGGATGGAGAGCCCTGTTTGGTGGAGATCTCCTTCCACTGGCACTGGAAAGGCCAGCCCAAGGCTGGCAGCCAATGCTATTCAATCACTGTGGAAGCAATGATTGAACAGTCTAATTGCTCAATACCCTGGCACTGGCCATACAGGATCCGGTCTACTGCAGAGCTCTACTTGTGCTGTTGGGTCAATTTCTCAGGTCAACTACTTCTTCATTACTTCTTTAAACTATAAACATAAACACTTACTCTGATTTTGCGACAAACTCCATCCAGCCATGCAGGATACAGATCCATGCATCTCTTTTGGCTGGTATAGACCAAGCTATCTTTCTAGATAGGTCATGGCTGAGGAACTGCATCATCCTTCCTTGCCGTGGAACTCTATGTCCTCTACAGCTGTTCCTATCTTGTCTGATGATGGTGACACAGCTCTTTGTACTGAAAGAGTCTACAGATGCAACAGCGATCTTTCCACCAGACTGAGCCAGCACAGCTGCGCCGCACCCATACTATGGCTCCTATGACATAATCTCATCGCTCCCCACCATTGGAGTCATGGATGGGGTGCCAACAAGCTTGCACATCATGGAGCTTCCCTCGATACTTCCATGAACTGGGAGCATCTGACTTCTCAGTGTGGACTTTGGTCGCTTACCTCAGGGGTTACCAACCCTCTTGAATACATCAAGGTGTCCATTGCTGAGTACCACTTGACACATTGGGAGGGGCATCACATGGGCTTGTGATCAAACCTCCAGTCATGTTCAGGAGAGAAAGGGTGCATTGGCATTGGTCCATTTGACCGTCAATTGGGATCCTACCTGGTCTCCCCATACTTGCATCACAGCTCATTGGCTTAGGAGGCATCTGTCTATCTCCCCAGCATAAGGGCCAGTGAGAACAATCTTGGCTATAACTGTCCATCCGGAGCCCTCAACTGGGTAGTTAGGTGACAAGTTGTCATCCTACGAGGTGGGACTGGTTGTCCTATCATCAGATATTGCCTCAGCTAAAGGCAACACCTCGCAGATGCCTCCTCAAGTTTACCATCTCCTTACATGGGTTCAAAAGAATCCCGTCCAGAGACATGACTAACTTGGTGCTTGCTTGGGCATGACCAGTGCAGGTGCTATCACATGACATGGCAGTGGCTTATTCCACAGCCATCAGCTTGGGTGGGTGTTGCTCCAGCCCGACTGCTTCACCTTCGCTGAGGGTAACACAGTGAAAGTTCTCCCCATCACCCGAAAGTGAAGGGAGTGCCATCAGGGCGGGAGGGTGGGAGTCACCAAAACATGTTTTCACAAAACATTGTACTTGGAATACAATCCTGGAGATGACAAGGCTAGCACAAACTCTTGTCATACTGTGCCATGTCCCGCGGAAGGTAGCCCCTATGAGGGTGGCATGCTACCCCGCAGCCATGGCCGGTGCCTGGGTACCTTGGGCTCAACCAGTGCGACACAAACACTAGTTGCCCAGGCGAAAATCCGTCTTGGACTTCTTGCCCTTAAGGGCTGCAGTCACCGCGTAGCCATCTGGAGGATCTAAGGCCTCCCCGACTGCTGGGTCAGCTTCGCTCTTCGGATCCACCAGGTCTGACAGCTGGGTTCGACGGTGGGCTTCTGCACTTCCATCAGGACTCTCTTGTCAGCGACAGAGAGCCTGTACCAAATCTGGCGTCCATTGCTGGATAGCTGAGACCAGACGTAGTCAGGAAGGCATGGAACTTTACACTGCTCCCCATCACCCTGATGTCTCGTCTTGCCAATGGTGGTCATATTGGCTAGACGTGAATCATCATTTCTTCGGTTGATATCAAAGAAGGTAGCGGCATTCAGTAGCACCTCCTTGTACCCGTCGTATGTGAACGACGCATGATGTCCCTCACGACGAGCGCCGACAAGCGGCGCTCGCCTAGAGCAGCACAGCACGACTAGTTGAGTAGAGTAGTAGGATAGGGTGGTGGAGAGACTCGGCCATTTACTGAGCCGACCGTCTCCGCAACCCAGGGGTGCCGCTCGTGATTGCTAGAATCCCGAGCGGGAACAAGGCACGAATGAGGCAGTCCGCGGGATGTGAGTCCCGCGTGATTGTGCGACATTCGGCCAACCCAGGGAGGGAGAGGTGGGTTAATCTATTCTAGTTCTAGCTGCAGCTCGGCTGAAGGAAGAATTGTGAGCAGAGAAGGAGACAACCTTCTTGCGATCGACTGTTCAATGGCTGAAGGAGAGAGTTGGACCGGTCTTGCGTGTTGTGTTCATTCAGGTTGCTATCTGTGAGGGTCTTTGTGGGGTGCTATTGCCTTAGAGTGATCTTGCGAAATGGCAGTGGCAATCGACATGTATGTGGGGTATCCATTTCAGGAAAGCAGGTGATGACCTGAGGAGTGTAGAGATGTATTTGTTGTGTGTGAGCGAAGTTGGGGAGTAGATTCGTATTTTGTGAGATGTACCAGTCTGGCAACTG